ATCAGACATTTCCTTGGAGCAGACGACCGGTCTGCCCTTACTTTACTATATCCGCTATGACGTCATCAAGTCCATGTTGGGCAGAATAACTATATTCAAGGCCAGTTTCTCAATGTGTGTCCTCCCCCACTCCTTCTTAGTGTGGGGCTTTGTGTTGGTGATACCGTTTGTGTTGCCCGTCCTGATCGCTCTCCCTCTCATGATAAGCCAGGTGTACTACCTTATGTTCCGGAACAGGCAGATCTCTTCTAAAAGCTCCCGCAGCAAGAAGATGACCATCACCATCATCTACCTCACCATTGTGTATATCCTGTGTAACAGTGTCTACTTCATAGCGATAGTGGCCACCAACTCCATCTCCCTAGAGGGTCCCCCGTATGAGAGCCTCCTCTTCATCACCTCCACTGTGATACCCTACCTCCACTCCACTATTAACGCTAGCATACTGATAGGCCGGGGCAGGAGTCTCCAGAACTACTGTCTGGGGGTGCTGGATCAGTACATGTACCGGTGGAGAAGGGTGGATCAGGTGTCTATTAGACAGGTGGAACATGCTAGCAACAAGAACATGACAACATGCAGGGGTGAGAAGGAGGGTGGTATAGTTAGCACTAGGAACCAGTTGTCAGGGGTTACGCCTAATGTTGTCAATAATGTTTCAATTGATTTGAATCACCTGTCCGTTGATAATATCATAACTTGAGCTGAGTGAGCTGTGTCTTTTTAATCTGTAAATATTGTGCAATTTAATTGATTTCTTGCTGTATTTGTGTACTGTATGTGGGTTTGTATGCTACTTTTCTGTCAGATGATTATTTTTAAATGATCCGTTTCCGTCACATATCCAGTTGTTTGATTCTGAATTCTGATACCAAAGTTCTAGGGGAAATCTTCCATATCAGATGACGTAAAAATAAAAGTTGATTCAACTAGACTGACATTAATTTAATAATGTCACGAGTCTGCCTTTAATCCTGGTATTTTTCACTCAGTAAAATAGCGATTAGCGAAGTAGCCGTAAATAATATGTAGCATATTACACAGGGTGTACCACAGAAAGTGTGACTTTTTTGAGGAATTGTACAAAATATTATGTAGGAGCAGTTGCTAAAAACTCTTCATCACATTGTGTCAATATGTGTCGAATTTAAGCATACCAAGTTTCAAGTCCCTATCACTTTTTGATTTCTCACAAATTGCAATTCTGTTATGGTACTACCTCAGGAACTTAAGCTTGATGTAAATAAGAGGTCTCAGGAAAAAAAATTTCGAAATCAACATTTTAGTTGTTTTTGATAGAAAAGAGTAGTTTTATCAGTTGATCTTGGTATACACCCTGTATAATAAAGTTTACAGTAAACAGTTTGGTAGATATACATACAATACAAGGGTTGAATTAATCATAATCAACCGGGATAGAATATTCAATTCTGATAATCCCGCTTTTTTTCCCCGCTTAATAACTTAATAACCCTTAATAAATAACCCTGGCACAGTTTCTATAATCACGTCCCGCTTTGGTTCAACTAGATTTGGTTCGTTTTAACATTCCCATGAGATTTGAGAATCTCATCTGTGCATTGTCACGAATTTTGATGACGCGTATCACGTGACTAAATACTACGACTTTATCTTCAAGATTATTCTCAGGGAGGTCAGATTAAAAACCTCAAAACGCTTCATCTGATTCTTAGTAGTGTTCCAGACTTCAGCTCCGTATAACAGGATGGTGATAACAGCAGCCTTGTAGATGCGGATCTTGGTAGGTGTTTTTATAGTTCTACTGTTCCATATCTTCCAGAGCTGGTGGAACGCGCCATTGGTACGCTGGATCCTGATGTCAAGATCTCGGTCGATACCATTCCGTCCAAGGAAGATCGGCAAACACTTTGTTGGTTTGACATTATGTTAGTCGCGAGCAGAATTAATAATAAATAAATTTAATTAGTTGTGAATATCATGGATAGTCCTCATATCAGATAGAAACAATACTTGGCTCAAAGGAACACTCAACACATAACAGCTTAACAGACTGCAGACCATGATCACTGCTATTGGTATCACTAAAAATAGCAATTTTTAATAACTCTCAAACTCAAAACCTGATGACTATCGTCTGATTGTTGCACGTTTATAAACCCCTATATTTGGAGGAGAACAGTCACTAACTGGTATTTAGTAACCAGTTCGTAGTGACTGGTCTTTCGATGAAAATGTGTTTAATGTTGGCATTGATCTAGTGTCATACTTGTATTGGTTTTGGACCTCTTGCTTATTGTTTTTTAAATTAATGTTCGGTATTATGAGCTAATATTATATGTACATGACGTGATATACTGATATGTAAAAGTGTATAGCGAGTATATTTGATCATGATAATTATATAATGTATTGCGACAAGCTGTAACTTAAATATTGCATTACACAATAACTCAAAAATTAAATCTAACTAGAATATAGCAATATTACCAGAATTTAAAAAATATTATAATGTCGGACCCGTCGTCACTCTCAGCAGTCAACCAGGGCTCATAAAACCTAACAGCGCCTGTGCTGGGTCCTTTCACCAACTGCATGTGCCAACGAGAACGACGGTGTGGTCAGGTCGACTTTATCAGCTGGTATTTCATACCAGCGTGCTAGCTGCTAGCATACGCTTTTAATCAACTCAAATATATTTATAATATATTTGAGTATATCCCAGTTCAGTAATTACACTTTTCAATACGTTTGTACTCGCTTATCAGTTACTTATCATTACGTTGATAAGACTTGCTTGTTTAACCGGTGCCGTGGTTGTGTGATGTATAAATCGGAGAAATACGTGGCTTATAAGCTTGATGAAGTGAAAGATGATGCAGCTGAATGGATCCGGAAAACTCTTGGGCTTGCTAAAGTAGATCATGTTAACGCGTGTGCAGCTCAGAGTTTCAGTGGTAAAAGAGAAATCTCCAGGGAAGTCATGGCTCAGAGTCTTAACGCTGCGTTAAAAGTTATGTATAGACAGTCGTTGTACATTAATCAGCTAGAGAAATATAATCAGAAATTGCACTCCGATGTAATTGACAGTCAGGGAACAGTAGTTGTATTGCAGAAAGAGCTGCTAGCTGCCAAAGACAAGCAGCTTGATGACTTGAAATCTGTGGTTGTAGCATCAGTCGAGGATACTGTGAAATCAGAGTTGAAGACATACAGCGCCGCAGTACAGGCATCAAAAACCTCAGCAGCAGGTCCTTTGTTGGATTCGGATAGAAACATTTTGAAGAATGTCATCAAGGATGTTGTGGCAGAAGGAGACCGAAGTCGGAATCTGATGTTATTTGGTATTAAAGAAGAGAAAGGTGAGCTGTTATGCGACAAGGTCGCTCAAGTGTTGTTGGAACTTGGCGAAAAGCCAAAAATAGAAGCTAGCAGAATTGGTTTGAATAAACCCAAGGATAAGAAACAAGTGGCTGACAGACCTGTTAAGGTGACTTTGACGAGCTCCACAATCGTGCAGCAGATTTTGACTAGAGCAAGGCATCTCCGTAGCTCAGAACTTTTCAGTAAAGTCTTTATCAGTCCAGATAGGTCTCCAGAGGAACGTGCCGAACAGCAAAAGCTTGTTTTAGAACTCAAGAAGAGATCAAACGACGAGCCAGATAAGAGACACTACATAAAAGGAGGCAAAGTGTGTAGTGTGGACAAAATTGTTGTTTGAAATGTGTTAAGACAGAGTTTTGCTTGGATTTATGGATTCCTGGTTGGCTAAGATTTTAATTTTTTTTGATAAGCTTCTAAATCATATTCGTCTTTCAACACAAGACTGTCAGTCTTCTAGAATTTTGTTTTGATTTGTGTATTAAGCTGATGTATTTAATCTTACTTCCAGGTCCATAATTTCGTGTGGAGTATATTTTTAGAGTTATTTAGGTTTTATATTAGCAGATTTAGGAATATAATTATTGTATATTATTGTATGTATAAATTCTTGAGTAAACATTAACCAGTAAACAAAGCTGGTTCCCAAACAAACAATATGTAATAGTACGTTTGATCTTACCATCTAGCGCCAAAATTTAGTTGTATATAATTTATTCGGTTATATATCTATTGATTGATTGTGTAATAAAGTGATGATAAATAATAAAATTGTCTTTTCTCAAAGAATTGTCTTTTCTCAAACAGCATCATTCTATTTGTCACAACACTGCTGCTCAGATTAGGTACTGTTGTTGTTTTTATCAGTGCCAGAACGTTTTTGTGTTGAATTGAGAGATGCTCCTTTATTCCTGTTCGGACGCATTTATTAAAAATATAACAGATTCACTAGGCCACGCTATTCATTCTTGATTCTTTTGTCTAACTAACTGGCAGTTGATCACACATCTGGTTCGTTCACTGATCCGGCGGACTTTTATCCAATCCGGTTTGTTTTCATTTCCAATATCTGCCGAATCTGGCTCAGTATTTTACAACATTAGAACTCGAAATTCATTGGTATCTCCAGCTCATCGCTGCACTGATAGGTTCAGCTTCTACCAAGGACCAAAGAAAATGCGATTATTTAGGCCAAAAATCGCAGAGGTAAGTTCGATGTCATCTATTAGTTAACTAGCTCGTTAGTCTAGTTAGATTAGGGAGTGATAGGCGCGCCAGGCAAAACAATAGCATAGGTATATTGGTCAATTATGTGTTGAGTAATGTACAATTTGTACAATTTTGTAACATAGACAAATAAACACCAGCGATTCAAGCTGCAACTTACTCGTCGTACAAATTTTCAATTTGATCGGCTCATGTCCCATGATGATGTGATCTCAAATCATTATATCATCCGACACAGGCTGATAACAACAAGATATGACATAACTCATGACATCAATTAACAATTCTATATCTACACTTCCCATCCTAGTGTGATAAGATAATTAACACAATATGATTATTAATTATATTGTTTTAATTATTAATTGTGTTAATTGTGTTAATTATTAATTAACAAAACAAACTCTACTAACCTATAAAGACGTAGTTGCCCTGCGCCGAGTTCACCAGTCCATAGTTAACGCCCAGATACAAGAAGCTGAAAGAGGCGAGGGTCTTTGTCACTGGTTTGACATACTGAGAGTACCCGAAGAACTCGTTCACCAGTAAGATGGAAAGTGAGGTGACAGTGAGGCAGATAGGTGTGGTGGCTGCGGAGTAGGTCTTCGAGATGGGGTCTCTGTTCATTAAGTAGCTATAATGGGGGTTTAATTAGTTATAGTGGGGGTTTAATTAGCTATATTGGGGGTTTAATTAGCTATAACGGGGGTTTAGTTAGTTATAATGGGGTTTAATTAGTTATAGTGGTATTTTGCGAGTTTAAAAGCTTAGAGAAAAAAGCTTAGAAAATCAATTTTTTAATCAGCTAGGTTCAAGTTTTAACTGAAGTTTCTGCATCAAACAGGCCGTATTAATTACTTAACTGCAGTAAAACTCTGATTTACCACAAACTCTGATTTACCGCTGCTGATTCCTTTCACTCAAACTCCGCTGTAAATCGGGGTTTCACTGTACCAGTTTTAGAAAGGTTTAAAAGTATGAAATCATCAAAATATAGTAATGGGTATTATTAAAATAGTAGTAGTAAATCTTTCAAAGTACGAAATATCTCTTTAAAAGAGCATCCTAGGCACCTTATAGATATCAAAACGCATAAAAAAGAAAACAAAAACATCAACCATCTTCTAACTTCTTCCACTCCTCCCTATCTAAAGCTAAAAATCTAAGGTCTTCGAAATCAGTCAAATTCTTAAGTCTAATAGTAATATCAAGATTTCTACTGGTCAAGTCTTTTCTAATAACATCTAATAAGTTTAAACATGGTCTACCCCGTCTCCCTTCCATAAAAATATCAGAATATATAGCAAATAACATAGAGGTGTATGCTGGTGAGTCTTCCTGTCCTCTTAAGATATGTCCTAACATTCTCCATCGAAACTTAGAGACTCTCACAGACAAGGGAGTGACATAACAACGAGCATAGAGTGCCTCATTAGAAATAACCCCAGTAGGCCATCTGATGTTGAGGATTCTTCGGAGGTGTTTGCGATGAGCAATATCAAGTTCATTCAACGAAGCTAGTGGTGCAGCCCAGGAGTTGCAGTTGTAGAGTAGAATAGAGACTACTTGTGCCTCGTAGATTTTGATCTTCCTTTGGACTGAAATCTTGCTCTTCATCCAAACTTTCTGAAATTTACTAAAGGCAACATTACCAAGGAATATTCGATTCTTGATATCCTTAACAGTGCACATCAACGATCCTAAAGTTTTGTTAGAGCGCCACTCTTCATCACCTCTATACACTTTTCCAACAATCACCTTGCGTTTAACAGTGGGTTTAGGATCTGCTAAATAAAAATGGACAAATTCAGTCTTGGAAGAATTGATATGAAGGTCCCACTGCTGGAATATATCTTTAGCGATAGGAAGCATTTCTTTGAGTGGAGCAAGTTCAGTGTTATTAAAGTCAATATCATCAGAGTATCCTGTTTCGAGTGGCATGAATTCTTCTGAGATAGGAGGATTAGGGATTGGATGATTCACTGGGTAAGGTGTTGATGATACTTGGGAGAGTATAGATCTGAGGTGAATAAGTGCAGCGGCTTCAACAACAGTAAATAGATTACCTGATAGTGCATCTCCTTGAAATGCTCCAGTTGTGCTTTGGAACTCAATTGATACAGTATTATTGACTTTTACTTTCAACACTGTGTTTGATAGTAGGAGCCGTACCATCCTAATTTCATCTCTAGTACAGCCAGCATCTTCAAGAACATTGAGTACTGTTTCTCTGCTGATGGTGTCAAAGGCACTTGACATGTCTATACTCATTCTGTGGTAGCTCCAATGCTTTCTAAGTACCACTGAGGTTAGCATACGTTGAGACCAAATTATATCGCCACAACTTCTACCTCTCTTGTAAGCACTTTGTGTAGGACCGGTGTACTGATCTAGCTTGCCTTGGATACGTTTTAGGGTAATCATTGACAGTAATTTTCTGGAGCAGTTTGAGAGGGTGAGAGGTCTGATGTTTGCTGCTGGACCAAGTGGTTTCTTAGGCTTTTGGAGTGGAGTAAAATAATTAAAATAAATTATACACGTTACACGTATAAAATAACATCAAGTAGTATGCACCACAGTAAAGCCATCAGAAACAAGAAACCCCAGCTTTGAGAAGCACGATACTAACTCCAAACCAATCTCCGTAAATCAGTAGTCTCCAAGTTAATAACTTGTTGTCATTGTTATAAAGACACAACACTCGCATGCTGCTCATTCAGTGAGTATGGCATCAGGTTACCAGCCGAAATTACATTCCTTCACACTTAGTCAGAGTTGATCACACTGCTCAATAGTCTTTCAGTTTTAGAAATGGATCTCGGGAGAATATTGAAAATGTAAAATACTCGGATATTAGTTTTGCACGGCAATTGTGATACGTTAAAGACTGAACAACATGGATTAAAGCACTAACAAATGCAAATGCAAGCAGAGTCATATGATGGACTGCGTGACGTCATGAACGTAATAATTTACACGGATATCTGATATGGGAAAATCCATTGAATTGAAATAATGATAAGTAACTTAAATTTATCAGAGGAGATGGTTGTGGGTATAAGATATTGCCATGCCCCTTATCTTTTTATGTGCATCATACAAAATTTTCATTAATCTTGTCCCTTCATTAGCAACGCTGCTTATAACAGAAATTAAAAATTAATAAAGAAAATCCCAGCACTGAACTGCAATCCGATATGCACCATCCTTATTCCTTATATAACTTAAGAACAATAAGTGAATAATACGCAGTTAACTCTTCTGTCATCTATTATCGTACTGCATTGATTTGTCATACTCATACTCCAGATCTACACCACTCTCACTTTGAGACAATCCTGAAACAGAGAGCACGTGATTGTGAGCAGAGAACACGTGGTTGTGAGCAGAGAACACGTGGTTGTGAGCAGAGGACACGTGATTGTGAGCAGAGAACACGTGATTGTGAGCAGAGAACACGTGGTTGTGAGCAGAAATACGTGGTTGTGAGCAGAGAACACGTGATTGTGAGCAGAGAACACATGATTGTGAGCAGAGAGCACGTGATTGTGAGCAGAGAACACGTGATTGTGAGCAGAGAACACGTGATTGGGAGCAGAGAACACGTGGTTGTGAGCAGAAAACACGTGATTGGGAGCAGAGAACACGTGATTAAAAGCAGAAAACAAGTGGTTGTGAGCAGAGAGCACGTGATTGTGAGCAGAGATCACGTGATTGTGAGCAGAGAACACGTGGCTATGAGCAGAAAACACGTGATTGTGAGGAGAGAGCACGTGATTGTGAGCAGAGAACACGTGATTGTGAGCAGAGAACACGTGGTTGTGAGCAGAGAACACGTGATTGTGAGCAGATAACACGTGATTGTGAGCAGAGAACACGTGATTGTGAGCAGAGAACACGTGACAGAGGTTAACTAAGTACTAACCTACAACAGTCCTCTCTTCAAGTTCACCGTACACGTAGCCGTTTGCTTTATCAACTGCTTTACACAATCTGTGTAAACTTCCTATATCCTGGAAAGAGATTCAAGCGTTTAATTATTTAACTATCTAACATTATTGATTAATTAAATAAAATCATTATTATTTTGATGATACTGTTGGAAGACTGCCTCGTGTGTGGTAAGGAGTGAGAACAAGCTATGCGATGTACCTAAACTGTATGTCAACTATAGTAATGGAGTAGCTTTTGATAGCTTGGAAAGAATGATCCTTGTGGTGTCCTTACTTTTCAAGATTTCGGAAGATTGATTTGGTAATTTATAATCGTTCGAACTAAAAAAGAGATACAATTTATTTGTATATTAGACGTTATACACTTAATGTAATGTGTGAGCGATTTCATTGAATCAACACATATCGGGTAATATACATAATCAAAGCTTGCATCAACTAATAGTAATTAAATGTACACCGCATTGTCTATGAGGATTGAGGAACAATACAATATAATATCTAACCGTAACCGTAACCCAAAATCTAACCGCAAGCCTAAATCTAACCCTAACCCTAAACCTAAACCTAAACCTAAAACTAAAACTAAACCTAACCCTAAACCTAACCCAAAATCTAACCCTAACTCTAACCCTTACCCTAAACCTAAAGTTTGTAAGATACAAAAAAATATCGTTTCTTCTAACCAGCTTCTCTAACAGAACATAAAGTGAGCTCATTTACTTGTAACATCTTACATCGATGACGCATTTTAAATGATTAAGCAATAAAAACTAAAAAGCAATTACATTAACTGGTAACTCTAACCAACGCTCCCATGCGGTCCTGTTATGCAATAAAGTCTAATCTCGTCTGACATCTCAAAGGCTACAACTTCGTTCAGTCTACTAGTCTACAACGGCTACACCGAAGAGTCCCTCATGTTCTTAACAGTCAGCCACACTACTTCACGAGGTGGTGAGGTTGATTTAAACAACATGTTTACAGTACAGCAAAACCCTTGTTCTTCAGTGTTAGTGCTCGTTACTATTTGTTATGCTACTGTTTCCCAGTGTTTGTGCTCGTTCCTATTTGTTATGCTATTGTTTCCCTTATCCATAGAATAACAAAAGTTAGGAACTGTCGTACTGTTCCCTTCACTCTTAACAATAACAAGGTGGACTCTCGCAATTGCGAGTAGAAGATCCTGGAGAGTACACCATAGGTTTTGGTAGGTTGCATACTATTGAAAATTAGAAAAAATCAATCACAAGGTGGATCAGACAATTTACAATTTCAACGTTCCAGTTTCTATTTTAAAACTTTAGGGAAGCTTTAAGTTCAAGTCGACTGCTGCAAGGATAGTACAGTAGGGCAATGGGCATAGGCAGGGTGTAACCTTTACAGAGGACAGATAGGTATAAAAGTAGAACAGTCATGGACTAGTTAAAGTGATCAACCGGAATATGTCAGCATGACAGTGTCTTACAAGGAGTGGTTTATCATAGGGATGGCGTTGAGTTTTTCAAAGATATTTTTAATTAATGTGTAGATTATAGATAATATGATATAGATCTGCTAGAAGTGGACTTAATATGGTGAGTGCTCAATAAGGCCCTTGTATCGTCAACACACCCTAAGCTAAGGGCCTGACCACAAGTTGGTGTTGCATTGTATCTTTATAAGACTTAGGCGTGCACTTAAGAGTGATCTTTTACTTCTAGTATGACCCGGGGTAATTCGTACGGGGGTCTGAGTAAGAAGCCAGGCTATCAGATAAAACCTGCTCAAGAAGCTTACTTTGGAATAAACACTTTTGTTGGGCGGTACAATGTATTTTATAAGTGTTTTAGGGAATTATATTCCCGAAAAGTAGTGAACACTGGTAACCGATAAGGGTTGCCAGCTAATTATCAGGTCAGACTGCGAGTCACCTCCGCCAAGGCGTCGGGAATTATTGCGGGTAGCACTCAACAGACAAGGTATTATTTTATTATAAGTGTTATACAGTTTTAGTGTGAATCCCAAAGGACAGCTTTCGTCATCTACGGTGTCAGGCTAGCATATAGTAATGTTCCAAATAGCAAACCGCACGATATTTAAGTTGCAATGTCTTTGATGAGGGTCACAATAATTAAAGGACCAATATAAATGAACGGTCCCACTGTTTTAACACTTCCCTGTTAACATGTTAATTATTTTGTTAATTATTTTGATATTGGCAATATTAAACGTTTAGTGGTAAGTACGCGGTTTAGACAGTCTATTGTCCGTGTTTAAGTCCAACTTCAATGTGTTTTGTCGTTTATTATTATAAATTATCTCAGACGAGCTGTTTCTATGTTGCCCGACCTCTTGTTCACTTAACCACATCATCATGGTCACAGCTGGAGTCCTATGAGTTATAATATTTTATATTGTATTATGAGTTATATTTTATATTGTATTATTTGTTTAACTATTCAGTTATCTTTTTTATATCATATAATATGATCACGAGTTTTAAACAGTTGAGTCATCTTTGGTAGTATTTTTCTTTTTTGGTTTCAAGTATTATAGTTGAAGCAGTACACATAATATGACATAATATCTATTAGATATGTGTATAATGTGTATAATTATTATCTATTCGTCACAATCTCTCTATTCTAGCAGGAATCCACGAAGGAAATATGTTTAAAACACTCTTTCTACTAAGCCTTATCCTGCTAACCTCCACTCTGTCTATAAAGAAAAGAGGAGTTGAGGACTGCCACTATAGAGGTGTGTCTCACCCCCTTGGTAGCAGCTGGTGTGATCCGTTGCGATGTGGTTTCTGTCGGTGTGATGACCAATTCGCTGTTTCGTGTGATAATTCGGTACGTTTTTTAATTATATACACTTATTTAAAAAAATTTATTCAAAAAATATCTAAAATTATATAACATTCTATTCACATATTTCAATTTACGATCTTCGAATTGCAATTTTAATTGGTTGATTAACAATTAATTTATAACAATTTCCTTCTTTCAGTCATGTGACAAGGTAAAAGGAGAAGAATTCTGTTCAAGACATGGATAGAAAGTAAAACTCCACATTCCAAAATTCAATGAACGCGTCCCATACTTTGTGTAATTCTAGATTCTAATAGTGACATTTAGAGATTTAGCAGTATTTTCAAAAAGTTTATAACTTGAGTTTTGATGAAAAAAGCGTATTTGGTATTATTTTATTCGTCTTTTAGTGGGAACCCTGACTTCAGTAAAATATCGCGAATAACTAAAAATACTTTCTTACATAAAGGAACTGGACCCGTATGCATCCACCCTGATGGTGACATCCCGGCCAAGATCCTAACTAACTAAATGTCGAAGAACAATCGCTGAACCAATTTATCTACTCTGTAAAGGTTTATTTGATAACGGAGTCATACCATCTGGTATGAAGACACAGTACATCACGACTGTGTTCAAGAAAGGAGACCAAACATCTGCCGCTAACTACCGCCCTGTCTCGATAACCTCTCACATTATTAAAATATTTGAGAGAGTGGTCAGAAAGCATCTTGTGGAACATATTATGGAGTCAAACAGCTTTCTCTCCCCCCATCAGTATGGATTCCAAAAGAAAAGAAGCTGCTTTACTAAACAATAAACCACGTAGACAATATCCTGAGGCCACGTTTTTGGGTTCCATTAGGTGGCCTTTACTGCAGCACAACTTTTCAGAACTTTTCCACGTGTCATAATAACAATAATCCCATAATGTGTGTCTGTCTGTGCGTCTGTGCGTGTGTAATTTCCGAGCGGCTTAATCAAGAAAACAGCAAGAGTTACAGGACTGTTTTTTTTCGGTATAGTGCTCGGACTCTTACCGCTTCTAACCCGTGTAATAATCTAATAGTAAGATCGCCCCTTAATAGATGTACAATTGTCACAGTTACAATCAGAGTGCTAGAATAATTAATAATAGATTTCAAGAGAGCTTCTGTATACAATCTTAACCATCTTTAGCATAAGTCAATAATGGAGTGCACCATGGAGAGAAGTCAGTCTATTGTTAAACTAATTCAAGTTAGCCTGTTTATTTACCCTGGCACAAATTGTACCTCATTACATCGTATTTTTCTCATTAGTAAGGACACACTAATCTGTCCAAAAACATCGATTTACCGAAATAACGACCATTCAGAAGATGTTTGATGTTTTTGAGTTCCAAAAGATCAACTTTCCAGTTGAATAAACAAATTTTTAGGGCATCAAAAACTGCGCCAGAATTCAGAGAACAATTTCATGTCAAGCATCAAAACAATCAGATGTTCCTTGACGGACTTTTTGGTCAAAACAAGCCTGAAAAGTAAAATACCACTTTTTGACTTTAAAAATTTATAAAAACGCAGCCTTTTCAGATACGATATCAAGATTTTATACACATCTTGAAAGCTTGAACAAGATATGAATAAACTTCGTGCAACATTTCTAAAATGTTACATTTCAGCTCGATGTCACAAGAAATGATTGACTTATAGCCTCTCAACAAAACAAATTATGCTTTTCCGAAAATGCACTTTGACCAGGAAATGCTCGTTTACAAAAAGGAGAATCCTCAAACAAAATTTGTATGGTATGGTAAGGGCGCGCTAGATTGTCACTGAACTTTCTATGAGGTCATTTGGGCTGGAAATTTTTGGTGTATGCCCCTTTAGTAGATGTACAATTGTTAAAGTTACAATCAGAGTGCTAGAATAATTAATAATAGATTTTAGGAGAGCTTATGTATACAATCTCAACAATCTTTAGAGTAATTCAATAATGGAGCATCATGGAGAGAAGTCGGTCTATTGTTACACTAATTCAAGTTAGCCTGTTTATTTACCCAGGTACGAGTTGTACCTCATTACATCGTATTTTTCTCATTAGTAAGGACACACTAATCTGTCCAAAAACATCGATTTACCGAAATAACGACCTATCAGAAGATGTTTGACGTTTTTGAGTTCCATTAGGTGGCCTTTACCACAGCACAACTTTTCTAAACTTTTCCACGTGTCTTAAGACCACCCTTTGCCACGTTTGTTCACGTTTTGCCACTTTCGTTGTTTAAATTAAATATTTAGTTACGAACACCGTAGGGGGGGGGGGGGGGGGTTCACCCTGATTTTGTTGTGAAACTTGGTTTCGAGATAGCAGTTGACCAACAAACTAGGACCGGTGACCGAACTTTTGAGGGGGTCCCGGACCCCAACCGCCAAACGGTGTAGTTGAAGCAATACACATAATATGACATATCTATTAGATGTATATTGTATAATGTGTATAATTATTATCTATTCGTCACAATCCCTCTACTCTAGCAGGAATCCAAGAAGGAAATAATATGTTGAAAACACTCTTTCTACTAAGCCTTATCCTGCTAACCTCCACTCTGTCTGTTGAGAAAAGAGGAGTTGAGGACTGTCACTATAGAGGTGTGTCTCACCCCCTTGGTAGCAGCTGGTGTGATCCGTTGCGGTGTGGCTTCTGTCGGTGTGATGGCCAACTTGCTGTTTCGTGTGACAATACGGTACGTTTTTAAATTATAATATTTACTTATTTCTATTTATTCATTCAAAAAATATTTAAATTATATTACAGGGTGGGCTAAAAGTTATATTAGTGAGTTAGTGGGCATACGTTGGCCTTAATAGCTCAGTCACTGAGTGCCCAATTGAAATATTTCTTTCTGGTATGACTTACTACTACCACTGGTTCGAGGAATTTGTCAAATCGAAAAATATTCGGATAATCAGATCGAGCTAAATTTTATTGAATTGTGTTTGGCCGGGGGGGGGGGGGGGGGGGGGTAATGACTACCAATGGAGACTTTTGGGGACTAATGGGGACTAAAAATCGTGGGGACTAGAGGTCAACTCGTTGACGTAATTCACCATTTGTCCCCATAAGTCCCCAGAATTTTTGACAGTTATTTATGGTTTTCAAGTTAGTTTAATAACCTGAAGTACTCTAACAGCCCTCAAGTAGCTCCCAAGAAGTCAGGAATGTCCAGTGACCATTTATAAATATTCTAGACTTCAGTCTTGAGAAGTTTACGATCTGGTCTGGAGAAGCCAGATTTTTTGAAATCTAAATGGGGACAAATGGAGACTTTTGGGGACTAATGGGGACTAAAAATCATGGGGAATTGACGTAATTCCCCAAGTCCCCAAAAGTAGTCATTACCCCCCCCCCCCCCCCCCCCCCCCCCGTTTGGCCATTCGAATTACGTTTGTCCTTTAAAAATAGAACTGTAGCTTCTCAGATGACCGAGATATGAAACATAACGAGTTTATTCATTACGTGTGATCAGGTGATTGGTTTACCTAATCACGTGATTAGGTAACCCCGTTAACCAGCCGTTAAACATTATGGAAATTGTTAAGGGTGCCCAATTGAGGTGGTGTGTCACGGTGTAACATAATCACCCAGTCAATTTTGTTAACGAGATACAGAAAATGCTTGATAACTTCGTCATTTCTAATCCGTTTTGCCTCATGTTTTCCGATCATATGCAATATATTTTAATAATCTACCGTCTTTGAAAAAATTAGGCGTTCAGCATGTTCAGAGAAATCAATATAGGTGTTTTAATATTGAATGGGCGTGGTCTACAATATTCGAATTTTCAAATTTTGACTACGGAATCCTCGAACCAGTAAGTACAGTATGCCATCTGCAAAGCAACAGTTCTCAAATGCAAAACACGGCGGAGCTATTAAGGCCAAAGTATGCCCACTGACTTCTGGCCCACATATTTCATGAACTTGGTAACATCATCTTATTCTACTCCAAAACAAGATACATATTTTACCATAGAAACTCTGCTCGGTGATCAATCTTCGAATTGCAATTGGTTGATTAAAAATTAAATTATAACATTTTCCTTCTTTCAGTCATGCGACGGAGTAAAAGGAGAAGAATTCTGCTCAAGACACGGATAGAAAGTCAAACTCCACATTCCAAAATTCAATGAACGCGTCCTATACTTTGATTAAAAAAGCTGTTAAAACATTTTTGTAATAATTCTAGATTCTAATAGTGACATAATTTAGAGATTTAACAATATTTTCAAAAAGTTGATAACTTGAGTTTTGATGAAAACAGCGTGTTTGGTAGTATTTTATTCGTCTTTTAGTGGGAACCCTGACTTGATAAAATCACACGAATAACTAAAAATACTTGCAGACACTATGTCATTGTGGCTCTAATGCTTAAATATATAAATGATATGATTTAACTATCAAACCGGCTAAGTATTAGTTACTACGTAGCTATAGCGACAAATTATCTGTTTCTATTTATTAAATGGCACTGATTGCACTTAATTGCCGAGACTGTCTGGTCATTGCTAACACTATTTTACAAACAGGGGTTCTAGGTATATTATTATATAATGACAATTAAATGGATGAGATACTAGTTAAGCAGGTCAGGAAATATGAAAATGATTGGTTTCAAATCAGTTAACAAACTCCCAAAACTCATTATAAACATAATATTATAATATAATAATATATTATAATATAATAGAAGTATACCTAATAACTATAATTACTCTTATTTACTCGAAAACTCGTTCGTTGCATCTTGAAACTTAACTAATAAGGAAACAAATCGAAAGTCCAAGCTTTGTAACGTTACCAAATCATACACCTTACGATACTGTACACTGTACAATATTAGAAGCCAGGGAAAGAAGTGAAACAAAAACAATTGGCAAAAGCACGAGTGGGTGATAAGAATGAAACATAAAGGCACAAAACAAAGGTACAACACACAATGTCATCCCTCCGACACTGCCCGTGTACATCAATACAAGCTTATTACTTTTATTACTGTAGTTACCAAACCTGGCTGTGGGCCAGGGAACAATAATTACTCGCTATATCCTGCTCACGTATTAAATATATTATTCTGTTTAACGTAATAATAATATTATCCTCTCTTTTGGGCGCCAATTTCTGAGCTCCTGACATGATTATGACTAATTTACTGTGTCGGAAGCAATTAAGTAATTTAGTAATTAAGTGATTAAGTGATTAGTCTCATTTTCGTATTTACAGTGGAGGAATGTTGTGTGTTATTTAGTGCTGCTGACGAAGAGATTTTAAGAATTTGGCTGAGAGCCAAAATATTCCTCTAAACTTCTAGAGTAATACTTGTTATGTACATAGTTGTACAAGTCAGAAAGTGTGGACTTGAAGCGCTATAATAAGTTAGGTATTAAAACACTGGAGAATGTTACCTGAACATTGAGAGGGTAAAAAGAGACAAGGTTGTAATCCTCCACCAGCCCAGTAAGCGCCTTGTTCAGTTTAATAAACCTCCTACTACACACCCTCTCATCCAGCTCGTCCAATAAGTACGACAAGTCCAGTACTTCAGTGTAGAAGTTCAGTTTGAATGCTGAGAACATGGAGTGTTAGTTGTTTTTATAAATAATCAGATTTAATAAAAAGTCAACAATTCAAAACCCTGCACTAAGAAAACAAACAACAACAAACCTAACGGTCCCATCTTGTCAATGAGGTCTATTTTGGAGAGCACGTTGATGTGTGGTAGCTCCAGATGCATCATGCTAGATAGACTAGTTAACAGCACTGATATAAACTTTGAGGGGTCAGTGCAGTAGTGACTGTCAACCATGCTGACTACACACAACTGGACATAAGTTATGTTAAGAAATACTTTGTACAAGCAAAGATGAACTTTGATAATAAACTGTGAGCATTTTCTAAAATCAACATTATTTCATAACAATTGGGTTTTGTTATACACGGAAAATGTAAGTTGTTTACAGCAAAAAGCTTCGATGTACTTGCACCCTCAAGGTCCTAGGAGCCTATGGAGTTAAATGAATGTTTTAAGTAAAAACCTGCATTCCCCATTTGGAGATAGCATCAACAATATTTCTGAAGGCAGTATGGTGAGTGTACAGCTCCACCTGGCCGGGACAATCGAATATTACATAGGCTTTTTGTGACGTCACCATTTCCTTTAACTTGTCCATATTGTTCTCAATATACTCCATGCAGAAGATGATAGCTCCGTTTGGTCCCAGTGAAAGCCGCTCCATGACCTGGGAGATTTACAATTTCCTTGGGAGATTTACAATTTCCTGCAACAAAATAAAACTGATAGAAAGTATTGAACTAACTTCTGCAATGTTATTTTCATCAATAAATAAGTAAATATTATAACTATATTCTCTATTGTCACAGATGTCACTACCACTACATGTACAATAACTTAACTACATATATTATATATTATATATGCACAATGCACATTGCACATGATCAATACTTTTTATGACACAATATGACAAAAACCTCATCGACTTCTATAAGATTCTGAACATCAACATCAGCTTGATAGGGAGGTCTGTCGTTGGCAGGATCTAAGTTCACAATGATGATGTCACGTTTGATCGAGTTTATCAAATGATGGGCAATAGCTCGACAGTAGGTACTTTTTCCTGTAAAAGAGATAAAGTTGTTATCATGTAAGATTCAAAATATTTTTAATCGTGTTAATTGTGTACTTTATTGGTGGCATATTTCAACAATATGTTAATATGAAAACATCAGAATTAATCTGCAGTTTTTTACAGAATTACCTGATCCAGGAGGCCCGATCACTAGCTGTCCAAACATCGGACTTGTTTCAACCTTTGCAGATTTTCAGTTCATATGCCTACCATTAGAAGTAAAGGGTTAACAAATTAAATTTGTCTCGGTGTACACAATACACTGTACACAGGTACGACGAATTGTTATCAGAAGCTGGATTGCCTCTATAAGTTGATATGACATCCAATGTTTTAAAGATAAGCATACTATATTATACAATATCAAAGAGTTAAAGCAAATTTTTTACGAACACCATTTGCAAGTTTAATATTTTAACCACTTTCTTAAAATTCAAAATATATAAGATGATGACACTGGGCACTTCTGCACAGAAAAATGTTTAAAAATTTGCTACCGATAATAAGATTGGTCCGCTATGCAGAGCTACCCTTTTTTCAAAACATGATGTAATAAGTTATAGTTCAGTTACTTTCTCATCAGGCACAGCGATTTTGTCAGATGTTGTCAGATCACGTGCCTCCAAATTCTCAACTACAAAAGGAATTGAGTTGTTTTTAATCATTGCCTATATTTTCAAAATAGAAACTTGTAGAGTTATTTCGTCAACCGATTCATCAGGAACTATGCAATATTCCCTTGTAATGACTTAAAATTTCCGGTGTCTTTCAGTCCCGCATCATGTCCAGGTGTTTCAATCGGTTGATGATCGACTCTAACCTCTTCCTGCTTCTTGCTTTTCGTTCTGGTTTTTTCAGTAGCTGAATGTGATATTCTTAACCAGAACGTCATGTAGATAAGAGAGAGCCAATATCTTCCTTTCATTACAATTGTTTTGACTATGCGGGTAATGTAGTTATTGTATAGGATAGGATTTATCACAGAGTTTATTGGGAGAATCACAATAGACGATATTGGATACAGGGCTGTTGCGTCCATAAATTCAAAATAATGAAGCATACACACCAAGATGAACGGGATCCAACATAGAAAATCTGTCACGATTATTATGGCAATGTATCTCTCTGTCTCTATTTTATCTCTGGCCCGTCTGTTTTGTTCCTCGTTTCTGTTCCTGCGTTTTCTAGAGTGTTTTGAAGAAAACAGGACTTTGATGTAACAGATTAACATAATTGAAAAGCATAGCAAGTTGAGCAAAAGACTTGTCCAAACATAAGTTTTTTGAGGGTCATCTTTCGAAACAAAATATTTGAAAAGACAAACACCATCGTTACCATAGAAGTGAATCTTTCTTCGTCCTATCCCGTCATACTGTTTGGAAAACATATCGCCAATCAAATCATTGATCTTGGCCCAAGTTGAGACTGCTGAGGTAGAAATCCTTCCAAAATATGATTTTAAAATGTCAACGTGTCTTTTTTTGTTAACAAACGCAGAAAATGCTCTGATTTTTGGATTATAAGTCATACCGTTAACAAAGAAGTCCTCGCTAATCGCCATTAAAGGAATGTACGCCCAGAAAAATGATGCTACTCCCATAATCAGAATGAGGATTGCCATTTTGGCGGCCGCATTTTTAGATGTAATCTTTTGAACTTTGATCACGCCAAGAGCACGGAAAATACTGAGGCAGGTCATAGAAAAGAGTGATATTTGACTTCCAAATGTACTGAAGACTCCTAAGAATGCACACTCATCGCTTGACAACCACTTAGCCCTTTTTTTGCAGAATGAAGTCCCATATACATACGAGTTTACGATTGCAATTGTGAGAAGGTAAGATCCTGTAATCAGATCACCGACATGAATAACACATGTCAATGCCTTATTGTTCTGAGCAGAGGTAAATGTTTTAGTGGCCAGTAGCCTGAGACTCTTAAAAATCTTTATGGAATTTAAGATAACTGCTGCACAACCAATGACCCAACTGAACACCTCCATTGAGTTGTTAGGTATGATGGTCATACCACACTGTTTATTGCATTCGTCAGTGTAGTCGTCACAATCTATTTGTCCGATCACATTTTTGATTGTGTCTTATGTACTGCTTTGGAGTGTCACAAGCGTAGTTGTTTGAGCAATTTTCTTCGTCTGAGCCATCATTACAGTCGTCAAGCAAGTTGCAAACTTTTTCGAAGCTGATGCATCGATCATTCTTACATCGGAAGTTTCTTTGTTCGTATTCTCCACTTCTTTCGTTTTTAATCAAAAAGGTAAGTTGATTCTTGTTCTTCATATTCATTGTGTATATCCTGTCTTTAAATTGATTTTCAACTTCACAAGAATCAAAGTTAAGTGGTTTTAAAGGACATGTAGGTTGGTCAGTGCATTTGTTGGAACAGCTGAAATAAATGTATACTTTTCCGAATACGTTTCTACAGTCTCTAGCTATTTTGGGTAACATTAATGATGCTGTTGGTTCAATTGATCCAAAAATCTGCAATGGTGTGAAGTCATATTTGACACATGGTGATATGTAGTGGCCTAGACTTTTAATGACTCCCGGTAAACAATGCACAAGAAATTCTAATGGTTTTTCTCTTCCGATGGCAATCGGTTTTTCATAAATATGCTCATGTTTTCTGGTTTTACTGCATATTCTTTCATGATCACAGATGTTGAGACCTTGACACAGATCGTGGAATTGTACAAAATCCGATGACCTGACGCTGCACTTGAAGACATCTTCACATTTACTGTTGTCGATTACAAAATGAGACCATTCACCGACTCCACATCTTGGCCAAATGTCTTTTTCGTCGTCCCCCTTTTCACAATCTTCAAATCCGTCTCCCAGCCAGCTGATAGGTATTGGGAGTTTTGTCTTGTGTCGATATCTGCGGTAACACGTAGATACAGTCATTGATGTACAGATTCTGGATGTTTCGTCACTTTCATCAGAACAATCCAATATTCCATCGCATAGTTGGTGCTTGTGAACATGACACAAAAGAGTAGTTTTCACACAGAGATTGTCAAATCCATCATCACATAGACCCGGCGTCTGTATGCAAGTGGCAAACTTTGACACCGTAGATGGGCTGCCCCCGATGAGGCAGGGGACCACTCCTCTCATAGGATCCGAGCAATTAGTCTGGTCAAGGTACAATTGACATTTTGGTCTGTAGTAATGTGATGAACATCTGGTATAGTTGTATAGTTTTATGAAATAATAATAACGATTCCTCGAAAAGCACTCTTTCGTCTCAAAAACAATCACGTCATTATCTTGAACCACATCCCTTAGAATATGTTTTTCTACTAGTTCAATATCGTACTCTGAACACCCAGCTTCGTCCTCCTCATTTTCACAATCAGGTTTGCCGTCACATATTTGTACCGGGCTTACATATGTATTATCACTTAAAATGCCACCACAGTAAATGCCATAATAGAAACCATTACAGGATGCGTCAACGCGACAATTATCATAATTACAAATTCTATCACATTTACTTAAACTACCAGGGCCAGGGTCATGAGTATACTTAATATCTGTATACCTTATCTGCTTAAGCTTGTATTCAAACCTATTTCCTGACATGGAAATCTTCTTGAAGTATCTACTGCAGAAAGGTATGGTGATGTTGCTTGAAACCTTAACAACCAACCTACCAAAACATGTCTGGTATCCGCGAGGGTCATTGGGGCATGTTTTCGTTGCTGTGCTACCTGTGTTAATTCGAGAAGTTTCATCAAAGAAGAAGACGTAAGTATAATATGTGGACATGTCAGGACATTTGTAAAGTGCGATTTCTCTATCTCGGTAACAAAGGTTTTTCATAAAAACCCCTTTTTGGACGAAGGTGCAATCTCCTGGAAAAATAATTCTTGTTCAGATGTAAAATATAATATTAAACGTGTATAAATAGCGTAGTTTCTATATTGTGTTTTTGATACAATCTATTTGAATGATGGCTAATAATCAATCTTTGAAAAAGGAACATCAGTTAACATAAGATAAAGCCCCTTAAAAATGACCAAATTCAGTCTTACCGGGTTTTGGTACACAAGCAAGCCCCAATCTATAATCACGGTTATTTTCCCCAATCGAATAATTAGAGCATTCATTGAAATTTCGTTCACTTTCACCACAGATAATATTATTCATTTCTTTTGTTACTTTTAAACGATTTTCTAATTCCTCGAGGTTTTGTTTGGCGTTATCTTGTTCTTCAACCAGTAAAGCGTACCTGAAATGATTACTCACAGATTAGTGCTACAGCTAAAGGTAATGACAAAGATTGCAGTTTAAGGTAGAAAACAGGGAACTCCAGTCGAACAAAACGTTCAATTTTATGCCACTTATTAAAGTCTAACCAAAACTGGAATGAAATAAACATGATATAATGGAGATAACACCGAGCCAGAAAGGAATTCGTTGCCTTGTTCCCTAGTGTGAGTTTAGAATTACAGGACCAAATAATGCTGATTGGCTGGACTCTGGAAATATCCAGGGACGTGATGATTTTATAACTTTATAATTCATCACCTTCTTCTTTTCGGTTATGGCCGTCAGAAGCTTTGTAAAGATAACAATCGAAACTCTGAGGTCGCCTTGAGACAATTAAATCGGCGAACAGTGTGGAGTGTTACCTTAATGCTTCTAAGTTGTCAGGACTCAGTGTGTCTACTAACTATTATAGAGATAGTGAGTACAGTGTGCACTACATTCTAGATAAAACGATAACGGATAATTGTATAATTGTGGTTGAATTTTATTTCATAATTGATGTTTTTCATAGCTCGCTATGTAATCAGAGTTACAAGCGTAAAACTGGCTACAGTTGGATTTTAGCCCCCTAGGATAGCTATACTTTCTATAATTAGAAATATATAATTCGTAGTACGTACCATAAAGGGCATAAACTGATGTACTATAATAAAACTTTAAAGTGCCAAATGTCGTTGAGAAATAACCTCCCTCTGCCTTTTTGTATGAAAAATTTCAATCTTGACTTGGATTTTAATGACATACGTTCTACACTATTGTGTCGTTTTATTTACTTTGGCCTTGTTAAGGAAGCCCAACAAAGTACATTGGTAAAATAACTATTTTGTCTTTGCACTTGTGAGAATTTTAGAATTAACTTACCATCTTTTATATGCCTTTAACCTATGATAAATAGCACTGCCATTAACATCTCTGTTATTAAATCTATGGAACATAACCAAACCAAACCAATCCACAGAATGATTAAATCCCATATCCTTGCATATCAAATCTGCGATGTGGTCTGTGACGCTCGAGATGGCGACTGTCACTACCTGTAATGATATCTGTTGTCACAACCAACAGGTGAAGATAAACAATGTAACATTTTTATTGTTTGTATTTCTTACTCCCACTAGCAGTTCTTAGAAAGCAGAGTAATAGTGATAGTTAATTTATTCGTTGATTTTTGCAATTTGTAACCATTTTTGTAACTTGATTGGTCTCTACAACCTGGGCACAAATTACAAACTAAATTGCTAATTATTAGCAATTTCTAATTTCAATATATCTCCAGGTAGTAGTCGCAACTATTTCTTCATCCATTGTACCTTTAATTTATAAATAATGGTATACTTGTACTTGTACTTGAAAAGGTCTCCTCCTAGTCGTTGGAGTGGCCTGCACCACATAGTAACTCCTTTCTCCGATGTATTAGGCCTCTCCAATGTACCCTGTTTGTTGCTTGTTGTTCTGCATCTTCTATCGTGATGTTATCGACACCTGTGAAGATTGCTGCATCCTCCCGGACACATGACAGCCAGTTTTTCCGAGGTCTACCTCTTGATCTTTTACCATGCTTTGGGATCCAGTGCAGAAGATAGTTGGGTATTCTTTCTTCTGGCATCCTCACCACATGGCCAAACCATCGGAGCCTAGCTGCTCGTACGAAAGTATCAACAGGGGCGATGTTGGCCCGCTTACGTACGTCAGCATTAGATACGTGATAAAACCATTTGATTTTCAGGATTCTTCTCAGACATCTATGATGGAACACCTCAAATCTTTTCATCTGCGTCTGTGTGGTATTCCATACCTCACTTCCATAAAGCAGTATAGTGAGGACAGCCGCTTTGTAGATCCTGATTTTAGTCGGTGTCTTGATGTTGCGACTGTACCATATACTGCTAAGCTGATAGAATGCCCCAGAGGCCTTCTGAATTCGAGCTGATAGTTCTTTGTCAATTGTTCCATCCGCACTGATGATAGCACCCAAGTAAGTGAAGCTGCTGACCTGCTGTATTGGGAGACCTTCCACATTGATGTCCATAGTGTCGTCTTTAGAATACGGCCTCTGCGATGCACTTTTACTGACAGCCATGCTCTGTGTTTTGCCAGCATTAATCTTCAGACCCGCATAGGCACTGTATTTGCAGAGAAGGTCAGTGGTTTCCTGCAGCCCCTCTTTTGAGTTATCTAACATGGCCATGTCATCAGCGTAATCAGTGTCCAAGAGATGTTTCTCTTCTACCCCGGGGGCTGGCAGCTGTAATAGAGCCCCCTTACTAATGACCTTGTTCAGTTCCATAAGGTATGCCGAGAAATTCAGACAAAAGTTGAATACTGGTGGTCCCTGTATATCACCTTGCCCAGTTCCCGAGTTGACATCAAACCAACCTGTAACCTCTCCATTGACCCTAACAGCACTAACTGTGTGAGTAAAGAACGCCTTCATGATTCTAATGTACTTGTCAGGTAAGCCGTAGTGCTGCATACTTCTCCAAATGAACTGCCTGTCAATTGAATCAAAAGCTGCTTTGAAATCAACAAAATTAATATACAGAGGGATATTATACTCAATACATTGGTGTATAATACAGCGGAGTGAATAAACCTGGTCAATGCATGAGCGATTCTGCCTAAAACCACTTTGATTCTCCCGGAGAAATTTTTCCATGCCATTGCTAAGTCTTCGCAGGAGTATCATCTGCAGGAGCTTCGAGGCTGTGGATCTTAATGTAATGCCTCTGTTGTTAGCGCAATGAGAGGTGTCACCCTTCTTTCCAACGATGATAATAACACCTTTGGACCAATCCTCAGGAATCTTCTCATCTTCCCACACTTTCTTGAACAACACAACTGGTTGATCAACTAACCCATCCTGTCCATACTTAAGTTGCTCGTTGGTGATACCATCCACTCCTGGACTTTTGTGATTCTTGAGTTTTTTGAGGGTATCAACAATCTCGTTTCTTGTAGGAGCCTCATCCGAATCGGAAAGGTCATCAAAACTGGGTTGAGGAGAGATGTTGTCTAGGTCGGAAATATTGGCCTCTTGCGGGGGCGGGTTCAATAGCCTTGAGAAGTGCTCTTTCCACCTTTCTTTCTGGGCATGTGGGTCGGCAATCAACTGGCCAGATACGTCTCTAACTGCAGTTGACTGCTTCTTCTTCTTTCCAGATATGACATTAATCTTCTGCCATACCTCGCGTTGCTGACCTTTTCTCGCAGCTTCTTCCAAGTCATTGGCCATTCTAAGTGCCCAGTTGTTATCGTCCACCTTACTACTTTTTTTAAAGAGCTTATTCAATCTAGAATACTCTGACCTGTTAGCGTTTGAATTAGGGTCTTTACGCTTAAATTCTTTACGGTTCTTCAATAAATCTTTTGTCTTCTGAGATTGGTGCCTGTCCTTCTTTTTTCGAGGTCTTTGCCCAAGGATTTCCATGGAGACTTGTTGGACAGTTGTCTTGAAGTTGTCCCACATTGATTCCAGGTCAACCTCAGGTTCCAAACAGTCAAATTTGTTTCTCAGAACAATATTGTATTCGGAAACAAGTGAATGATCACGCAGATGCTCAATAGCAGGAATCTCAAGCTTACGTTCTTGCTTCTTTTTCACTGACATAAGCTTCATTCTCAGTCGTGCTCTTACCAAATAGTGATCAGACCCAATGTCAGCCCCCTACAAACTTTTACATTTAGCAAAGAGCCTCCAAACTTCTTACTGATACAGATATGGTCTATTTGGTTTACAGTACGACCATTAGGTGATCTCCACGTACCTTTATGTATATCCTTTTGCTGAAACATAGTGCCACCGATGGTAAGTTGGTGGGCAATGCAAAAGTCCAACAATCGGGTACCATTGTCATTTGATGAGCTGTGAAGCGAGTGTCCACCAATGACACCTGACATAGAACTGCAATGACACCTGACATAGAACTGCACAATGGTATAATCTTACTTATAATTCAAAGAATTATTTTTGTACGACCGCCCACGTGCAAATTAGATGAAAAATAAGCAGTTTCAAAGTAACCATCGTAACGAGGGTTGTTACACGCACAATATGCACGTGCAAAGGTTTGCGAGCTACATTTTAATCGGCTGTGTCTTCGGTTGTGACGGATATTTTTTGATGCGATAAAAACTGACTACCTAAGAATACTAATAGCCTGTGATCACGGGCTTTCTAGTCATATCTATAAAATGCGTTTTTTAAAGCGTAAAACTTATTTTTAGTTCTACTCAGTGAACCATGAAAATATTATCATGCGTTCCAGGAAATTAGATCTTACAAGGCGACCTTATAACCAGGATTTACTTGATAGAAGAATCTTTTGTTATGTATTATGATATTATGAAACTAAAAAATGTATTTTTATAGGTATTTATGTTTGACTAACTGTAAATAAAAAGTTTTCTTTGTCAAGCACCTTTTTAATGGCCCGCTCGGTTGTTTCTAAAAGTTTCAAAATCTTGGAATGGCCACATTCGAGTTTTGTGAAGCAACGTCAACAGGCGCCCCTTATAGCTTCTTTTTAAAGTAAATAGTCACTCAAATGGGGAACCTCTCAAATTGGACCACACCCCAGCTTAGCTTCTTAATGTCCACTCATTGTTTTGCAACAATGTGAGTTCTGACTGATGTTTTGATAAGTGTGTTGAAAGGTAATAAAGTAATACAACTACAAGAAGGAAAGCTTCAAGTATCAGTACGATGCTACCCCTGTACCCCATGAATAACCAAAAGTTCAGAGGATACTAGAATCTTACTATATATAAAGCGAGACGATATATAATATGTTTATCCGTGCCATTTTACTGACACCACGACATCAACAGCTTTAACGCTACTTTCCGCAAAAACCGTAAAAGATATACAACTAAAACTTTTTTGACTGGGCCAGATGCTTTAATGGCCTCCAAATCAGCATGAAAAAATAAAAAATTGGCCAAGAAATAGAAGTTTTAGAGCCCCAAATTTGGACCCCCAAGTGGTGTCAAAAACGCGAATTAAATAGATAATAATTATTTTAGTCTCTTGAGTCTTGACACCATTTTAGGGTTATACGGGTTCCTGCTAGTATATAATAGCTTGTAAACTTCTTTACAAATAATTGTCAACGGGATTGACAATCGATTATGCCATTACAAGCAGCTGTGTCGATGGTCTGAGCTCAAGCTTGCTGAGATGCCTGACGCAGACGAAAGAATACCATTTTTTACATTGTATTTGCATTTCAAGAAATTACAAAGGAATGATATTTAAATATTGGTAGTTAATATTGGTGTCCAAAGAAATTTACA